AGCAGATTTAGAAAATGATTTATACACTTCCCATCCAGGGCTATATTCTATTCGTGATATGCGGCAAGAAAGAGTACAGCAAGCTTACCATTTACGCCGGGAAAGAGCGCAACAAACATACCAACAGCAACACGAACGGTCGCTGGAGGTTTATCAAAACCGAAACGCTCGAATGCTAGAAGTTCAACAAAATCGAAACCAACGAGTACAAGAAGCTCAACAGCGATCGAAGCACCAATACTCATCAAATCACGTACAAACGAAATATCATTGAGCAAATTCATTTCGTTTTCATCTCTTTTAATAAAAAAAAGAAATTCCTATAGACTTGTCCACGTAATGCACTACTTCAGTGATTAGGTTTTGATTTCAATATTCGAAATGAACCTTTATGTAGGGATGTACCGAGACCGAGTACTCGGTCTCGGTGTCTCGGTCATGATCTTGATATAAACTAGTTTCAGCCTCCGTTCTAGAACCTTGTTCATGAGACGAGTATGAAAATCGATCTATCCATAAAAACATCGTAAATACCAGCAGCGTTATGTGTATTATACTGTCTTCATTTGTTAAAAACGTGGCCGTTTTATGACGGTTATAGTTTAAAATGGTGAACACTAGTCTTCAAAGTTAATAAAGACTTGCTTAATCTACGTCAGTGTGTGTCTATCTCGATGTGTGTTAGCTCGATCTCTGCTTTATAAATTACACATGGAAAATTGAGGATGTTTGTCCATAGAGATGCACGCGGGCAAGCAAATTGTTAGCGAAACAAATGATTTTCCTCCATAAATTACCTAGATAACGGAAAGAGACTTTTACTGCAATTTAATCACATCGATTTTAACTAATTCCATGCACAAAGAAAACTGCTAATCAGTTGAAAAAATGTCCCAGCTTCGATCAATATTGATGAAATCGTGCAATTTCTGATTATTTTGACTGTCACAGGAATAGATTTCGTTCTAGTCGGCCTTTCTGGTTATACATACAACTAGATGAAATAAAGCCGATGAATTCGTAACAGAGACCTAAACGGGGTGGGTAATCGGGGGGAAGCGGGTAGAGGTTGTGACGGATAAAAATGTGGGAAAGGTTTTCACGCGGGGGGGGGGGTTAAGCTAAACCCCAGAATTTTTCCCCTAATAGAGTTTCATAAAATAAATGCTCGTGTAAACATAAACAATAAATCTGAATAATGGATATATATATATGCTTTATGATAGATTTCTCTTTGCTATGAGGCTGTATCTTTTCAATACTTTCAAAACTAATTCGATCAATTGTCATTTTCACAAACTCTTCTGGTGATTCATAACATAGTAGAAAGCAAAATAAATCAGTCTTAGTCTTTTTATTCTCTTGAGGGTGTGCTAATAGTATATCAATCAGCTATCTTTCATAATATGTAGCCAAATAAATCATATGTTAAAGAAATAAATATATTTTATAAAGACTAGAACACACCCTAAATAAAAACCGTTTCCTTGGAAACCAAGGAAATTAGCTTTCGGATCATTTAAAAATCTACATAGCTTTCCAGGCTGATTCCGGAAACCTGAATATGTTTCCGAGCTGATATTGGATATCTTTAAAAGGTTCTCGAAGGAAAAATTGGACTTTGGAGGTTTCGAGCTTCCGAAAAGTGACAGAGTTTCTATATTTTAGGAAAAGGATCATTTTTTCGGTGGCCCATCAGCATTTCGGGGTTGGTCACTCTATGAAATGCTTTTAAGGCTTCCGAAGCTCGAAAGTCCATTTTCTCGTTCCTAGAACCTTTTAAAAGTTTCCGAAATCGCTCCGGAAACGTATTAAGATTTCTGGAATGAATCTGTAAGCCTATTCTCCTGGTTTCCCGAGAAAACGATTATTATCTAGATTGTAGACATCAAAGAAGCAAAAGCTAAGACTCGGGACTAGGCGAAGCGGGGGACCAAAACTTATCACTGTTTCGGCCTCTGGTTCGTAATAGACTCTTCATTGAGTTTTATGAGTTATTTACAGAGGAAAATCATTGTTTTCGTTAACAATTTGCTTGCCCGCGTGCATCTCTATGGACAAACATCCTCAATTTTCCATGTGTAATTTATAAAGCAGAGATCGAGCTAACACACATCGAGATAGACACACACTGACGTAGATTAAGCAAGTCTTTATTAACTTTGAAGACTAGTGTTCACCATTTTAAACTATAACCGTCATAAAACGGCCACGTTTTTAACAAATGAAGACAGTATAATACACATAACGCTGCTGGTATTTACGATGTTTTTATGGATAGATCGATTTTCATACTCGTCTCATGAACAAGGTTCTAGAACGGAGGCTGAAACTAGTTTATATCAAGATCATGACCGAGACACCGAGACCGAGTACTCGGTCTCGGTACATCCCTACATAAAGGTTCATTTCGAATATTGAAATCAAAACCTAATCACTGAAGTAGTGCATTACGTGGACAAGTCTATAGGAATTTCTTTTTTTTATTAAAAGAGATGAAAACGAAATGAATTTGCTCAATGATATTTCGTTTGTACGTGATTTGATGAGTATTGGTGCTTCGATCGCTGTTGAGCTTCTTGTACTCGTTGGTTTCGATTTTGTTGAACTTCTAGCATTCGAGCGTTTCGGTTTTGATAAACCTCCAGCGACCGTTCGTGTTGCTGTTGGTATGTTTGTTGCGCTCTTTCCCGGCGTAAATGGTAAGCTTGCTGTACTCTTTCTTGCCGCATATCACGAATAGAATATAGCCCTGGATGGGAAGTGTATAAATCATTTTCTAAATCTGCTTGCGCGCGATAGGGCTCGGCATAATTTGAGCTATTGACTTGAGTCGGCTGTAGCCAATTCTGTTCAACATAGTTTCCAATGGTAGAATGCATAATACTTTTCTGCATTCGCCCGGACACAATCTCACAGCTTACAGCAGGAGTAGCAAGTCTCTCATGGTTTCCCTGTGTGAACTTTATAGTAAAATCACCGCCTTCTGAAGTGTCATATGACACTTTGTTTGCTTCTGATGAGCACAACATACGGATAAACATACAGTTGGATGTGTTAAGGTGGTGCGCTGTTTGAATCCATTGCCCTGAGAAGCATGAATCACTGATAATCCACAATCCATAGTTTTCGGACTTGCCCGATTGACACCACATGCTAATAATTTCATCGTAGGAAATCGTTCCATCTGTAAAAACCCAGTTACCTGTTATTCGCTCACCATGACCACTATAGTATACCATATAAACTTGTGATGGCGGATCTCGTGCGAAAAACGTGCTAATCGCTTGAAGCGCTTCTTGTTTTGTAAATCGATGTCGATAGAACGCGTCATACATCTCAACACATTTTTTATCCAACAAATTCTGCATGTGCCGAATATCGAGCAGGACGCCAGCCAAGGAACGGGCGGATTTTCGTTGATCTTCTTCATTAGAACGCACTTTTGCAACAATTTGTATACCAGCCTTCAACGACTCGGAGACATCGCCTGGCGACGCCAGTAAAAGTGCTAGATTGTGCGACATGATCACTTGAAGAGTGCGCGCTCTTAAGTTTCTGTTCTGTGCAATCTTGTTTGCTTTTTATTGTAGTGCCTATTTTTCACCTGCTTCACTGGCAAAAGCCAACAATAAGAAAATGTTGTCATTCTTTCCAACAAACCTTCCACCACCGCTTACTTGATTGAATCATGAAAATTGTCATATGAATAGGGAAGCCGTTGTTCGAGAGTTCCAATTCTTTTGTTTTTAATAAGAAAAAGCTTTACAATGGTACTTGCCATGGCTAATTCTCTCCACTTTACATAATTAGGAGAATACTCATGGCCAGTTCAACTCGGCACTCAAAATACGGAGTCTTATCTGATGCAAAAGATTACTTTTTCTGTCAAGACTTACCCAGGCTCAAAACTAATATTGATGTGTCATGTCATCGGAATTTTTTGTAGTATTCCTAAATCGACGTACAGTGAGAAATTATTGACACAGAAAATCAAATTCGTTAGCGATTATAGATGTTTTTAAATAGACATAGCAATGATCACACATTGTCCAAATTTGGCCAAGCTCTAAGTCGTCTGAATCGTCCTTAGAGACGTTTTAGCAGGCTGTTGAATTTCTCCCGAAGCTTTTTCGTTCAAAAAGCAATGCGGAAAGGACCTTTACTCCATCAAATAGAGAAAAGACGTGTATCATACGTACCTTTCCTGGTCTTATTGCATAGATAGTTCGAGATATTGAATTGGGCCCAACGACTGAATGTCTTGTTAGCTTCGATTCAGTAAAATTTTGGTGAAGATCTGGTATACGCAAGAAAATTCAGCAAAATAGTGCAATTTTAATGGTTAGCTGAGAGTAGTCTACCTTGCATACCTATATTTCAAGAAAACAACAATATTAGACTCTAATATCTTGGTTTTTCTATGTACACACGATGCCCTTCCAAATGAGGTATGAAAGATCGAAATCAAACAATTTTCTTCGGACAGCATGGTGCAGAGTTGCAACCGGTAGGCTTTTTTTCTAGACCGGTACCGGTCTAAACCGGTCAGACCGAACCAGACCCACCGATAGATCGATAGGAGTCGTAGTTGCTTTTTTCGATCGTATATGAGTCACTATTGATTTTTTTCATTTAATATCACTCATATCTTACTCTGGATCACTGTACCAGTTATTTAAGACTTCTCCTTCATCACTAAGAAATACATTTTTGATAAATATTGATTTAATATAAACAATATATCTCATAATTTTTCTTAGAAATCGTCATTAATGTCATAAAAAATAGCTTGATATGCAAAAATAAACACTTTTATCATCTATTTTTTGCAAAAAAATAAGGGGAAAAAGCGAAAATAACTTTTAAAAATCTAGACAGGGTCGGGTTGAAAAAGTCGCTTGTGCCGGCCGGTATACCTGTCGGTAAGGAATCCTAGACCGGGTCGAGCCGGACCGGCCGTTTACCGTTACCGGTTGCAACTCCTGCATGGTGACGGTCTCGCAAAGTCTCTCTTAATGATATGTACGGTCTTTCCTTCAGGAAACAGAACTAAAGAGACATCAGCAAGCTCAGCTGAAAATTTCATTACTTCGCCAACTGTAATACTCCTCAAGGGCAATCTCAAAATTTTAACGGAAAAGCCACGAAAGTATTTATTTGTAGTAAAAAAAGTAGCACAAGAGTTTTCTTCACAGTTCAAAAACACAGAAAGATAATTAAAGATAATTATTAGGAAAGGAAAAAAACAGCGGTGTCCGGGTCTATCAATGTGTTGTTGAAACCGATTAAGACGCAGTGGCATTTGAACTTCACCTTCATGATCAACCTTTATGGTACCATCTTTCTTCCAGTGGGTGGTGGCAGACTATGTTTCGGAAAGAAGGTTGTTGCCGTTTGCATGTTTATGTTACCACTTATAGGATCCCAGTACACAGCCGTACACGTTTTTAAATGCTCGACCAGTTTATGATCTTTACTGAAATTCGATTGGCAACGGCCACAGATCAAATTGTACTTCGGCATTTTATCTAGAAATACTTTCAAAACAATTACTCCGTTTATACGAAAAGAAGAGTTATTTATTGTACAGAATGTCGCATACAAAACTGTACGATAAAATATTTGAATATCTCGACTCCGTTTCAATGAAATGAGCCAGTTGTCTGTTCACTGATAGACAGGCGCGTATCGAACCCGAACCCGGGCCGGCGTGTTCGGATGCGGGGTTCGGGATCGGTCGAGATTTGAGACTCAGGGCTCGATGTAGATTCGAGATTCGGGATTCGGTTCGGTTTCGTGGTTCTGGATTCCGTCTACACTCGGGATCCAAGGATTCAGGATTCGATCATTTTTCGGGATTCAATGATTTCGGGATTCAATGATTTCGAGATTCAGGATTCAGGATTCGAGGATACTGTGTTCGGTATTCGGTCGAAGTTTGATGTTTTCATAAGAATCAGCATATTAAATTGCGAACCTTCCTGAACACTAGACCTCGACCAAATCTGAATCGAACCTCGAATCATGAACGCCGAACCACGACCCCCGAATCTAGATAGAACCACGACCCCCGAATCTAGATAGAACCCCGGACCCCGAACCCAGGGGTATCTGTGGTCGACACATTCCTGCTGATAGAGGCGAGTTCCATGTTTTCTTGACAAGAACAAACACAATCTAGATAAGAAGTATATATTTCACCTTCGAATGTCTATGTGTAGCATCTACTCTTCAGCTGTACGCAACTTGCTCATCTATAAATATGCAGCAGTGAAGCCAGTGGCGGTTTGCTTGTTTTAAAACCGAAAAATGCTGCACTTTCGGCTTTGAATTGAGTGAGCAATGTTGGTAAACTCGCATCAAAAATTGATTGGTGCACTCGTCTTCAAAATGACGTCATTCCGAGAAAACAAAATTTTTAAGAAGAAAAGCGACAAACATCGAATGCAATCGTTCTGTTGCTTTTGAAAGAAAGCGAAACGGTAAATAAAGGTAGAGTTGGAAATTATTCTTGCGTTAGTGTTTCACTCATATAGGAAGTACGATCCGTACGATTTGGATTCTAAAGTCGTTAGTTTTGGACTATCCCGTGTGAATTACTTTAGTCAGGCAAGACTTCCACCAGGAAATCTGGCGAATCAATGAAAGACACCAGCAGGATGCGAGCGATATTTCATCTATATTGTTCCACATTCGACTTAAAACAATATGAATGAATAAGCCCCACACATTTGTAGAGATTCGCCAAATTTCCTGGTGGAAGTCTTGCCTGACTAAAGTAATTCACACGGGATAGTCCAAAACTAACGACTTTAGAATCCAAATCGTAGATGAAAATAGAATTACCGTGTTTTTTTATCAGCTCAGTTTTCGAAACTTTCTACGTTTATGTATGGCCACATAGTCACGGATCGTACTTCCTATATGAGTGAAACACTAACGCAAGAATAATTTCCAACTCTACCTTTATTTACCGTTTCACTTTCTTTCAAAAGCAACAGAACGATTGCATTCGATGTTTGTCGCTTTTCTTCTTAAAAATTTTGTTTTCTCGGAATGACGTCATTTTGAAGACGAGTGCACCAATCAATTTTTGATGCGACTGTACCAACAAAAGTTCTCTGAATAGGTCGTGCTTTGCCTGTTAAAATACAATAATCTTTCTTTTCGTGCAAACGCATTGATTTTTTCCAAACTGGTTTTCAGATAAACATGAGCAACACAAAACACCCGATATGTGGTCGCTGCAATACAAATTTCAAGAGTGAAAAGAGCCGCAACGAGCATTTGGAGAGCTGTTTAGTGATAACCTCGGATCACAATACAGGAGAGATAACACTCCGTGGCCCTGCTGACGAAGTACGAGCCAGAATGCCTGATATAGTGAACAATTGCAAAATGTTGGAGCATAATTTGCAGAAGAAATGATTTTGAAAGTGAAGGAAATGTTTTGCCGTACCTTAACCGGTTTCGGCCGAGACATTGATATGCCCGAATACTGTTGTTTCTTCATTTGTGATTATCATCCTTAACCACTTTTCTGTGTTTTTGACTTATCAAGAAACTCTCGCGAGCGTCTTTTAAGCACTAATAAATATACTTTTATTGCTTTTCCGGGAAAATCTTGACATTAAAGTTGATGAGAACTATAGTAATCGGGTAATGAACTCTTCAGCTTAACTTACTCATGTCTATTCAATGTTGACTCCAAACAAAACCCACACCCTCGATTCTGATTTATCTTCTACTACTGATGGCAACAACTGTCATTAGAGTGGAAAATACTACTCACAATTCCTTGAAAAAAGGACATGCTTTCAGTGTACTTATTTTGGATGCATTTTTCATCTATGGCCAGACACGAAAAGAATTTAAATATCGTATCAGATATCGCACTATCCCAAGACACAGCAATCATATAATTTCAAATCCATCAAAACACGTTATTGCTAAACTAAGCGCTCAACTGACACGGTGGAATTCTTTTGGTACTCTTTCTGTTCTTGACACAGATTCAAATCAGGGATCGATGGTAATTTTACATCTCGTGGCGATTTCTCTGTTGACAAATACTATATCAAATGGATTGGTGAACGTTTATTGATGATAAATCCAGTTAAATTAGATTACTTGGGGGCGTGGGTGTGATTCTTCTGCTCATCTACACTACACCCACGCCCACACCCACCCTTTTAGTGTTACACTATTAAATGTAATTTCATTTGGATTAGGAATACCAGGTTGACTTGGCAATTCAAATGAATCTTGCAGACTTCCATGTTTATGTAACATAATTGATGCACCCTTCACATTATTGAAATCATCAGCATGACCTCTATTGACAATAAAATGCAACTTTCAATTTTTCTTAGTTGCCCTAGTAAATTCAATAAACTGAACGAATTCAGTTCGAATTCTATTAATAACATTGTGACTTTCAAGCCATGATCTAAAGTTAGTCAAATCAGTAGTATTAGTAAATGTATTGGTTTCAGATTGATGATTATGAAGATAATCAGACATTTGCATAAGTTGTGCGTCATTTAATTCTGTATAATGTAAACATAGACGACAAACAAAATCATATTGAATAGCACTGATGATAGCAGACAATGGTGTCGATACAATTGAAATCGATTCGAATGATGTCAGTAATGCTGATTCTTCGCTGTTCGATTCAAGCCGTGAGTCAAACTTTTGACGATTGAAAATTGATGAATCAATTCTTTGAAACAGTTGATCAAATTCTATTGCTTCTACTTCACCACCACGCAGTTTAGGTAATAATATTTGCCTATCTGTTTTCAATTTTCGATCGAATTCCGATAAACGCGAACAAGGGTGTGGGTGTGGGTGTGGGTGTGGGTATGGATGTGAGTGTGAGTTTTGCGTAAGACATCCCAAGTTCAACATCATGATAATCGTAAATGATTCGTAAACAATCGTTAATCACAAGGCTACGACCGTAAACGGCTCGCATTTCATTCATTTGGCTGCGACTGTAGTACGACTTGTTTCCTGACGTGTCGCAGATGCTTAAAAAGGGCCAAAAACAGTCTGAAAATCGTGAATTTGATTGTTTACGATACGACGGAATACGGTCGTAATAGAGTCGATGCCAACTAGGTGAAGTAAGATAAAAAACGATCACTACCACAGGACGTTTTTGACCTGGGTAACAATTTTCTTTACAACGGATTTTTATGATAACGATATGTTTAACATACCGACTAGAACTGTTTTTCTTTCTAGGCGCATAAGTACTGTAATATTATCGTTATATTTGACAGAAAAATAGCCGTTAGAGAATTTTATTTTAAATTTTGGTATTAAATGAGGATTGATGAAATACATGAGACAAATAAAGCATCGTTTTCTCAATTACTGCACAAAAAAAGAGAATTGTTTCAAGGTTTCTATAAGGAAATAAGGTGGTGACGACGCTACTTTTGGAGTGCGGCAAGTAGACTTAATGTTGGTTTGATTTTCATATTTTTATATTTCTCAGAACACCTATGAAAAGAATCTTACTGATTGATGAAGAAAATGACCAAATTTGGTTCGAACGTGCTCTATTTTTTCGATGGATAAGAAGCACAAGCAGTAGGATTTTTTTTCCGATTGAAAAAGACTATTTTTTAAATAAACTCAAGAGTAAAACGAACTTATCGATTCTTTTCATTCTGAGTAAACGAAAATAAAAAGCAAACCCTATACATACACATCATTCGACGAAGAAAAGAGTATGTGGAATGCAAGTTGGTATATGGCTAGAAGGTTACCGATCTCCTTCAGGCACATCCGCTGAGCTCTTCTGAATAAAAGCAGGGTGTGGGCGTGGGTGTTAGGGGTATGATAGTTCAGATCAGATCAGATCAAAAGAACTGTTCAGACAGTTCACAGGGTCTGATCTGAACTATTTGAACAGTTCTTTTGATCTGATCTGAACTCTTCCAGCAGATCAGATCAGATCTAAGAAGTGTTCCGATCCGCACTGGGATGATGTCTATATGGATATGGGCGTCTCTTATGCGATTTGATCTAAACTATCATACTCCTAACACCCTCACCCGCACCCGTATTTTTCTACGAAACCTTTTTCTGCTCTACGTAGCTTAAAAAAAGATTTTGCAGCAAAAGGGTGTTATTCTGGATACACCGTAAGAACCTTTAAAGGTTTCGTAGATTTTTTTATCCTATTTTGTGACTTTGGATACCGTTGGACGCTTTTAGAAACCTCCGAAACCTTTTTTGGGGGTTCGGTAGAAAACGGAGTCTTTTTTAGAGTGTACTTTGCAGAGAAAGTTATTGGAGAATCGGTGAAAGCAGATACTCACAGAAAAATGTATTGGTCTTTTGTGAAACACGACCTGAAATGAGTGTTGAAGTGTTTAGGGTAGAAATTTGCACCTCCCCCCCACCCGAACCCCCACAGACCGTTACCGACAGGTAATTCCCCTATCACAGAGCGTTGCCGACAGGCGACTCCCCCATCACAGACCGGTATCGACAGGCAATTCCCCCATCACAGACGGTTACCGACAGGCGATTCACCCATCACACACCGTTACCGACAGGCAATTCCCCCATCACAGACGGTTACCGACAGCTGATTCCCCCCATCACAGACCGTTACAGACAGATGATTCCCCCCTCATAGACGGTTACCGGCAGGTGATTCCCCCATC